AATTGGCATCGCTTGATAAAATATTTAAATTGGTAAGATCAAACATATAAACAATACTTTCTAGTCATTTTTCAATTATAGTTGTAGAGTTTATTTGAGATTTTATCATAATTAAAAAAAAATAAACTTAGAACTTATTTTAGTATTTAAATGCATATTTAATGAAAGATATGATTTTTAAATTATTCTATTTCTATAATAGACAGCAATGGGTCCAAATAATCCATCTACTCTATCATTTATTATTGATAATATATCTTTGACTGGTTTTGCTGAATATCTTGTTTGGCAACAAGAATATCACGTAAATGGTCTCATACTTTCTGATTTACATAATTCATTTCCAATCAGTTCATCTGTTGTTTGCAAATCTCAACTTGATCCACATCATTCTAAAGTTCATTTATTTTTTTCTGATTTATCTATTTTACCGATGAATGGTGAAGTCAATATGCGTTATATTGAACAATATAATAAACGTCAATTAATTATTTCATGTCAACGTGCATTAACAATGTTGAATAACGGTGGTCATTTTGTATGTAAAATTTTAGATACATTAACACGTTTTACAGCTGGTTTTATTTATTTACTCTATCGTTCATTTCAATCAATTACTATTCTTCGTCCATTTACTCTTGATCCAGCAAGTTCTGAACGGTTTTTAGTTTGTCGTGAATTTAAATATCCTGTTCATCAATCAATCATCCAACATCTTCATAACTTATTAAAATGTGAGAAAATAGAAAATATTTTAGAAATAGTACCTTTGAAATATTTAATTGAACCGCAATTTCAACAGTATATGGCTGATACAAGTCAACGTTTATTACAAAGAGAAATACAAGCATTAAATAAACGCCTATGGTATATTGATCATAAAAGTGATGAACAGGTTTGTTAAACATTATCTTTCAGATTTTCTTTGTTTATATGATTTTTCATAGATTGATCTTGTGATAGGCGAAGAAAATTGGAAAGAAGCACATGAGTGTGTCACGGTTCAACGTCGACCTAAACCACCAACTGATGAACCTGATTCGGGCATAGAACTACCTATTGGATGGATAAAAAAATGGAGTAAAAGAGAAGAACGATTTTATTATTTTAATACGAATACAGGTGATTCTCGTTGGGTACCACCTACATAAAAAAATACATTTTTTTAAAAATCTTTCAAATATTTCTTATTCTTCATTGTTGTCTTTACCTTATTATAATCAATAAATCTACACTATATTATTATTTTTTTCTTGATTGACGATCTCAAATATAAAAAACGCTTTAAACATAATGGATGTGAGTGCAGGTATGAGTTTGAATGTGCGTGAACAGTAGACATCTATGCCTATTCCCACAATCACCCTACTGAATGTTCATTGAATTTGTTTTCTTAATGATTTCACTAAAATATTCTTTTCGCCATTTGTTAATCTCATAAAATTTTCTTAAAAAATGATCACAAACTAAATGTTGATTATAGTAATTGTATTGAACAACATGTGGGTGAGACATGTTTTTAATAGGAAATTGTTGCCAATGAAATTTCATATCCTGCACAAAAACGACATTGGATATCATAGATTATCTCTAATATTTATTGATAGATATTATGTCTTTGTGTTTCTAATGATTAGCATATTTTATCTCTCAGTGTATTACTGTCATTTTTTGATTCTTGAAAAATTAAGAGTATAACTGACTAATGGTCTTTTTTGTTAGATATAGCTGGATTATACGAAAAACAAACGTAAACATTTATAAAACGTTATTATGAGTCTATTTCAAAATTAATAAATGTGGAAACCTCGGATTTAAATTCGAGAGTTATGTGTACTTCAAAAAGTGAATTAGACAGATGAGTCATCCTAGAATGTGTAGACATCAAAATTATCCTAGCAAACCTTTTCTATAAACATTTGCATTCTATTGGCTACTACTCAACCAATAGGATTTAGGGGCGAATACAGCTCAGATTTAAACTCTTCGTCTTGACTTACCTTAAGAAAGTCATTTTCCCTATAACTTGATTTCTATTGGTCCCTGCTCAACCAATGATATTTCGAGGCAAGTGGAGTACGGATTCGAGTTCTCCGCCCAAGAAAACCTCGAAGTACCATCTCTGTAATCGAAAGATAGAGCTCTAATTGCGGATCAATCAGAGCGTGGACAAAAACAGAACCAATTTCCGTTAGATTATCTTTGCATTAGGTGAGTTAGCCTTCTTATTTCTTTATGTTTTATATACCAATTTGTAGCTCGTGAAATTTTCTATCGAACAGTATATAATAGTTGGGGTTTTATTTGACTATGATAGGAAAAGTTATTCACGAAAGCGGGGATGGATCGATTTTCGCATAGGAAGCCATAGGGAAAAATGAGTATTTTTGCAATAACTCAGGAACGGTTCGGCCAATTCTTCTCATCTTCGAACTCGACCGAGGTATTGTAAAGACTGAACTGTGTAGAAAATTTCATCGCGATTGGACTCTTCTTTCAAAAGTTATCGTGTAAACGGCCGGCCGGACACACTGACCGATTCTAGAGTGTACTCACTTTTTGAGTACACAAAAATTGAGTTGACAAACAAAATTTTAAGATGGTGTCAAATAAAAAATAGTAGAATATTACGTAATAGTGCATCTGTCTGTAGAATTCTTATAGAAACACTTCACTCTAAAAAATTGAGACACTTAGGTAAGACAGTTCAAGTGTCTATTTTGCATTTATTTTGCTTGAGCGTCTAAAATTGGTTATCCGTTGACATGTGGTGCGTCTTACAGAGACAGGTGACGCGTCTCTTTTTTAGACATATGATGCGTCTTAGTAAGACGTGCCAAGTGTCAACGGATAATCGATTTTAGACGCTCAAGCAAAATTAATGCAAAATAGACACTTAAACTGTCTTGTAAGACACATGGCATTTTTTACAGTGTTAACACAAAAGTTGATAACCATTAACAGAAGCTTTATGTAAATTTATATATATGGTGTGGTAGTCGATATTATCGATCTTTCTGAAAAAATTTTAATCAAAACAGTGTAGACTATTGTGATAATGACTAGTCCGATCAACATATTTTATAAAATAACAGCCGAGAACATTATGTTGCTTTAAATCCTTTGACAATAAGTATAGTTGTTATCCGAATCATATTCCATCTTTGAATGAAACGGAAATATCCAGACACGACCCTACAAGTGGTTGTAAGATTAAAAAAAGAAACTTCTCACGATAAAGATCTGTAAACCGATATATCCTAAACTGACACCATTTAAGATAGTCAGCCGTTGTGAAATTTGCGTTTCAATTGGGTAATCATTCTTTAAGTCTAGCACGATAACCAGCATGGTGATTGCCACACAGGCTGCAAGAAGAAGATCAGTTTAATAGTGATGTCAAAGAATGTTCATCAAACTTCATTATTGCTAATTTTTCGATGAGTTCAAAATTAAACACATTTTGTTTGTCCGTACCTTATCAGTTATCTAGAGCATTACTTTTTAAAAGATTTTCAAAAACTTGGCGGAATGTGTTTTGAAATGAATGTCATGAATTTATAGGATTATGCAAGATGTCACAGCTTAGGGTCATCACTAAAACATATATGTCAAGCTTGAAACTTGAATTCAAGTATTCAACTATTCAAATTTTCGCCTGTCACGTGTTCTGCGAATATTCAGTGGGGAAGTACTTTTTTCCACCTAACACACCTTTTATTTCAGCGTCGTGGCGTGGGGGCGCGAAGCGCCCCCCGTAGAGTCGCGACCCATACTCGTCTCTGTGTACACAGTGAAGTCTTTCTTAAGGGTACTCTCGAGGGGTACCATTGAGGGATACCCTTAAGAGATACCATTGGGGGTACCTTGAAGAGGTACTCTTGATGGCACCCGGAAGAGATACCCTTGCGGGTACCCTGAAGAGATACCCTTTGGGGGGATCCGGAAGAGATACCCTTGGGGGTACCCTGAAGAGGTACTCTTGAGGGTTCCCGGAAGGGGTACCCTCGAGGTACTGTCGAATACTTGAAAACTTCAATAGTTGAATACTTGAATACTTGAATAGTTGAACTGATAGTTGAATACTTGAATTCAACTTTCAAGTTTGACACTACTGAAAGTTCAGTGACACTTAATCGCTGCATGGGCATCATTTGATAGAATGATAAGACTATGCATTTCAAAATGTATATCAGGTGAAGTATCTTTAATAAATTCTAATCAGATCATCATATCTCAGTTAAAAGCTATCCATGAGATTTAAAAATGTGTCTATATGCCTAAAAACACGTTTTCTGAGAGATGAGCAATTTCGATTCTATCTTACAAGAATATTGGAATCAGAAGCATGTTCATGAAAAACAATAAAATTTTTCTTTATCTTCTTGCAAAGGGTTAAACTTAATAATTCAGGAATTTATCTTTATAAACACGATTATTTTTTCTCAAAAAAAAAAGATGCAGGCCAATCGGAGAGTACATATTTATTAATTTACAATTGTTTGTTTTAGTTACACTTACAAAAGTTTAAACAAGTGATCATTATGAAAATTTGGGTCATCATTTTTTTTGTTCTTCAATAATATTATTTTTGTCGTGATCCAAACGGTCGTTGTAATTTCTATTCATTCCTACTTCATTGCTACATACCGATGTTGTATTCGTAAGTTGGGACGGGCAATTCCAATTCCGAAAACAAAAAAATGCTGATTTTGCCCATCTCTAAAATCAGCACGACTTTTATTGAAAGTTAAGCCGATTTATCAGTAATTTTAAATCATGCTTTCAATATGTACGTATAATTAAAATTCAAGTATATGTGAAAAGTTTTCTCCTACGAGACTGAAAGAAATGCAACAAGTAAAACAATGCGCGAAACTTCGAATTTCGAAATTTCTTACATAATTCTAATTTCATGTAACATTTTTATCCTTAACAACAAACACAATACAATATCAAATGAGTTTTTCATGTTTTTTTTTTTGTGTGACTTGTTTCAGTCATGTAATGTTTCTTGTTATATTTGATCGTCTCTTTATTTTTTTCATCATCGATAATTTAAGTGGTTCAGTAAAGTAAAATAAAGTCACCATTACAAATACCAATGATACATGAACAAAAAGATAAGCTATTCGAAAATGATATTTTGGTGGACTTGTAAAAAATGACATTAAAGTAAATAATGCATACGGCAAACCCAGTACGACTAGTATAGCTACTAATATAAGTATACGTTCAACCATTTTTAATTCTCTTTTTGCACGAAATAAAGTGGTAACAGGTGTAATACGATTACTCATTCCATGAACATATCGAAGTAATTTAAAATAAACAATCATAATCAATGTAATTGGAATTCCATATACCCATAATGCAATAATAATCATTGAAATGGAAAGTCGAAGATATATTTGACATATTTGATTGTCAACATTGTAAAGAATTTGACCAGTGAACACAAATGGAATTGGAAATAACAAAGCAAATATCCATGTTAAACAAACTACTAATATATGAAATCGAATTGATTGAAAGTATAAACGATATCGATAAATAACCGTAAAATATCGATAAGTAGCTTGTAATAAAAATGAATTATTGAATAAAAAACATGATACATAAGTGATATAAGCTCGAAAAACACAAAATAAATCTTGATATTGAATTTTTTTACGATCATTTTGAAATGTTCTTAAACACATACTAAGCATACAACATCCAAATATAAATGCACTTAAACATGAATTACCAGTTAACATCATTGGTATTGTATGACAAGTTTTGTCAAGAATTAGAAGAAATAAAAAAATAAAAGAAAGTCCTATGATTAAACTATTACATATAATATTTATAATATCAATTGGAATAAACCATGATTCAAAGTTTGAGTTAGATGAGTTCATTTTCATTGTTGATGATAGATGAAATAAAGTTGAGTTCATTTTTGAAATGATCAACAAAGAAAAAGATACCTAAAATGAATCAATCTAGATATTTTATATGATGAACAAGTCATGCCTTAAAACATTGATTGAAATGCTTTCTCGTTTTCCTTTTACAATATCTTCTATTCTCTTTAACAAAGCGCCACGTTTCATAAAAAAAAAAAATCTTTTTTAAAGTTATTTATATATTTTCCTTTATTATGCACTGATGAGCTATTTTATGCATTATGACAGAATATTATTATCAAAGAACAAATATGAAACTATTTTAGGAAAAGAAAAAAGCTTTAAAGACGAAGCACTTGACGACATTCTATAAGCAACCTTATTCATAAGTCAATATTTTTTCTAGAATCTGTTGTTTTTTTGCTAAAAAATTCGTCAAAATTCTGTTTCTATATGATCAATGTAAGATTCTTGTTTGACCTAAGAAGAAAAAAAGAAGAAGTTCAAAGATATTTTAATAAAATGTTCATCGAGTAGAGCATAAAAAACTTAAGAAATAATAAAAATCTTAGTCCATAAAACATGTTAACTATAAAAAGTTTATTATAGAAATAAGCGAACAAATGCATGCAAATCATTTATATAGACATATAGGAAACAAAGGATGACTATCCATCATTCAACTTCGACTAGACTCTTTGTATCGCTTTATTATCAATAGAACCAATCTTTGTTGAACTTCAATATGAAAAGAATCTTATCTGATGTGTCACGAAAAAAAAAAGAATCTGGAAAGAATAGAGATAAGAATATTGACTTGTAAACAAGCTTAAACAGGAAAGGGAAGACAGATAAACACCTAAGTGAATAAGAAAAAAAATGAATAAGTACATTTGCGAGAGATTCATATAAACATCAATTGAAAAATATGTCAAAAATTTTATATGTATAATAATTATATTATAATTGAATAGTTTTCTTTTTAGTGAAAAATGACAAAGATTAGAAAAAAAATTGTAAAAAAAGCAAAAATATGAAGAATTTTTTTTTTACAAAATAGATAAACGATCCGAAAATGAATTCCATTAAAAAAAATATATTCTGAACTTATCATTTAATTCTTTCTAGTTTTTTTTCTTTGTAGTCAAAAATATCGGCATTGATAATAAATTTAATTATATATTATTGATTAATTAAATGAAAGAGTAGAATAAAAAGAATTTGTTCTATTTTTTTGATATGATAATTCACATTAGACAATTTTATTATCGCTATTCGTTGATTTTTTTTCTTAAATCGATTTATTAAATTTAAATACATTAATTAATAAAAACAGTTGAATAAATATTATTTTATTTTAACTACTTAATTAAATCACTATTATATAAAATCTCCTAATAAATAACGAACATCGAAGATCGTGACCATCAAAACAAAGAAGGAGGGAGGATAAGGCCAAATCTTTTAAACTGCTTCAGGACTAATTTCTTTCTATTAGGTGTGAATATGGGGTGACTCCTGATTATTTATTTTAGATTTATTTTGAAAAAAAATGACATTATCCATTTTGGTTCCTGAGGTCCCGCTCAGGTATCGTCGACAATAAAATTTCGCTTTTCATCAATCAAAGCTAGATTTTCCTATACATTAAAGTGTGCTGATTGTGAATGTCATAATAAAACCTCTAAAAACACCCTTGTTCTCTATATAGTCTGGACCACAATCTAGATCCTATTTTTTCAATTTTGTGTCCCTTGTAAAAGAACCCTTCTTCAAAGTTTAGTGGAAAATATCTTTTCTAACTCAAAATGTTGTGCTCTATACGAATCTAAACTTTTTATGGGGAAACAAAGTTACTCTCAAATAAAAAGCTGTGATTCCGGAGTAGAAAATGGCCATTTTTTCTGTAAAGAAGTATTTATCTGCCTATTTTGTCATGAAAAGAGTTTAGCTGCAACGTCAAACTTTTACCAGCAGGGTAGTTTTTCACGCTCTATCGATTGATGATATTGAAAATAAGAAAAAAGTTGTGCAACACTCAAAAATTAAAAATACTAAAGAATTTTAAAACAAGCTGTGGGGGACCACAGGTATCAGTATACATGACATCTTGAAATCAGTTAATATATAGCACATCTTGTAGAGCCTAATGAGATATGAATGTAAGAAAAATATCATTGGTCTCCACAGCTTCTTCCGACTCAAAATTCGCTTCACAAAACTTTGCGGATGATAGCACCGCAGTGAGATCTCACATGAGTCTCCGAGATGAAAGAAAGCGTAAAGACCAATGATATTTTTCTT